CGCTGTTATAAAATCCAGGTCCCCATATCCAAGTGGCACAGCATGCGTGCAAACATGGTATTTTAACCATTCCCAAAAATCGCTCAAATTACCCCATTGAGGGCTTGTTTGGAAGAGGAACGATTTCCGCAGATTTCTGTCTTAGGGATTTTTTAAATATGGCCGCGATTATGAATTATCGGTATTTAAAGTTAAAACACTGCGTTTTTAGCTCTTCTTTTGACTGTAAGTCGAGTTTTAGTTAAAAAAATTAAAAATCCTAAGACAGAAAGTTTAGATTTACTGTAATAGTTCTAAAAATCCAAAAATCTAACCTTATTTTTAATTTTCAGGGCCTCTTAAAATCAGTTGTTTGGTTCTCGTGAACCCTTTTTGAAATCCGAAATTGATCTCATTTGGAAGCAAATGTACACAAAGTGGAGCAAAGGCAGTGCAAGAATAACATTTGAGGTAAACAAAATCACCTATTACATTTTATTTTGACGAGTATTTACTCTCCAATTACTTTTGTTTATTTTCAAATTTTACCCGTTACCCCCGGGCCGGCCTGGGACTCCCGCGCGGCCACGTTCGAACGCGTTCTGTAACCCGATACCTCCCTAGTAATGCGACTTTTAGCCTAGCAACCGACCGCCGTGATTAAACACTCACCTTGCCCTCACGATCTTCGATATTTCTCTTGACAGAAAACTTCTGAACCGGCGCGACGTCTTCCTAATCAGTCGTTCAGTTGTTTTTTTAAGAAATAAAACAAAACTCTTTCACTGTTCGGTGATAGATTTGGAAATTTCCCGAGAAGAAATGACAGAAAATTTCCTGATCGAAGTCAAAATTTCTAGATTTGCTCGTAAGTGTCGTCTGCGGAATTCTCTTTAGGTAAAACCATTGCCGGAGATATCAGAAGGGGTGGGAGGTTAAAGAGTAATATTTTAAAAGTACCACATTGCGTTTGTATTTTTGTAAAGACAATTTTTTTACGTGTTCAAAGTAAGATACTCTGAATTATATATATATCTTGCCAGATTTAATGGTATTTGAGACAGTAAATGATCGTTTATTCCGATTAAAATAAAAGGTTTACCCAGCTTGCGGATGGAAACGTCCATTTATGCAAATCAGATTAGCCGACTATTAATGGGGACATTCAAATTCTTTATATATATAAAAATAGATTTTACGCCACAGTTTTCTTAACAACACAAAGGAGGGAAATTATAAACAGATTTACAACACTATAGTATTAATCTATCATATCTCATAGCTGGAAATTATGAATTTTTATGTTGCACATTTACTACCTACGGAGTAAATGGACTTGGCGAAACCTTTGTTCTTCCGGGTCGGAGTTCCTTGCTCTTGTTTTGATTTTGAAATGGAAATGTGTTTTGCAACTACATGTATATTTTTACGGGGCTTTTCTGACGTTTGATGCTACCGTTGGCACGATATGATCGCACTACCATTTTTACACAATCGTCGAGAAATTTTGACGTTATGCACCCGGAAGTGCGCCGATATCGGTTTGCGTTCCCTCGATTTTTGACAGTTTCCCCCGTCAAAATAAGAAACAAAACTACCGCTATTAAATAGAACCATGTATTACAATTATCATTTGAACATGATTGATCTATAACATATTCCTTTATAATATTATAAGTATAATATCATCATGGTTGTGGAAAGTCCTCAGCTGGCGAACCATTTAGTCGGCATGTCACGAGTTCTTGCGCCGCGCCGGGAGTGACGAACATTTTCTTACACATATTCTTACCCCTTCCGAAACACTTTGCGGTACCCAGGATTAGGGTGGTCTGCATATTCCCTCGTCGTGATTGTAGATGACGTAAAAATCTAGGTAACGTTACATAAAATTGAATGTGTGGGTCATTGCGCACGACTTACGTGCAACGTGACCTCAGGTAACCCGCAATGTTCGATGTGTTCGATGGCCAACGGCAGATAGAACGAGTCATTCTTTAGATCGAACGTGGAACGGGTATAGCACTTTTGGCCCTTTTTTGGCCTGAAATAGCCATTTAAGTCCCCTAAATGAGTCATTTGGAAGTGGTGTATGCCAAACATGTGACTGCTATTCTGTAGACACATGTTCAAGGTACCCTTATACCGAATTTCAGACCATTTGGTTGTAAAACCAGCGCTCAGGATCCAAAAATCCATTTTTTTTTTTCAAAAAATGCCCCAAAAAGCCTTCATAAAAATTTTTCAAAGGCATGTATCAAAAAAATGAAAAAAACGCCTAGGGGTATTGGCCCACTCTACCTCCTTGCCAAATTTCAGGTCATTTGACTAAAAAATGACAGAGTTGAATCCCTTTGACTGTGTGGCAGGAGGAGAAGGAGGAGAAGGAGGAGAAGAAGAAACATGAGGGAACACAATATATTTCATCCATGGTATGGACTGAAATATAAAAACGAAACTAGTACAGTCATACAAGCCTAACTTCAAACTCAAGTGCACAATCACTTCCCGATGTGAGTTACTGATTATGCACAATAGATACTATCAAATTTAATGCGATAAAAATAACAACAAAACAACTAAGTACGGCTAACCCAACCGAACAACCAAAAAGGACCTAAGAGAACAATACCGTAAGTGCTGTACAGCATAGTAAGACGAATTAAAGAAAAGAACAAAGGCTTTAGCATACGCTGCATGTTAGTAAACGTCTTTTAGAACTACATATTTTGTAACCGCTTTACAAATACATATAACTAAAATAAAGAGTCAACATGCTAAATATTACTTAACAAAATAAACTGTAAATCCTTTAATTGGAATATCAATTTTCCAGTTGGATCTCTCGTAATATTCATTCTACCATGACTAAGGACACTGTGTAAATATATCATGTATAACTAGGACCATAGGGGGATGCTTGCAAAAGAAAGGGATTGTCGAAATAAACAAGGAGATTAACTAAACCAACAATTTTTGATGACTTGATAGTAAACTCTTTACCGATATACTTTCTTACTTGCTTGCACACGAGTTTCCACCAAAGAGATTTTCAAATTGTGGCGCTAAACAGCACACCACAGTCTTCACTCCTGTAGGGTTTCTTCGCTGTGAGTTTGCTTGTGCTTCTTCAAATCTCTCAGCTGACAGAACTGCCTGTCACACTCCCCACACATGTAGGGTTTCTCACCGGTGTGAATCCGTATGTGAGTCTTTAGATCACCCAGCTGACAAAACTACCTGTTGCACTCCTCACATCTGTAGGGTTTCTCACCTGTGTGAGTCCGCACGTGTCTCTTCAGATTACCCAGCTGACGGAACTGTCTGTTGCATTCCCCACACATGTAGGGTTTCTCCCCTGTGTGAGTCCGCATGTGAGTCGTCAAATTTTCCACCTTACTAAACTGCTTGCTGCACTCCCCACACATGTAGGGTTTCTCCCCAGTGTGAGTCCGCATGTGCCTCTTCTGATGTTCCAGCCTACTAAACTGCTTGTTACACTCCTCACACCTATAGGGTTTCTCCCCAGTGTGAGTCCGCATGTGTCTCTTCAGATGACTAAGACGACCAAACTGCTTGCCACATTCTTCACACCTGAACACTTTCACACCTTTGTCCTGCCTTCCGGTTTCCTCTCCAGACTCCTCACAGCTTTCTTCTTGCCAGGTGGAAACGGTGTTGGCAGAACACCCTGCTGATCCTTTCATGACGTCATCCAAACCTTCTATGCTGCCTGTTGTTGCCATGTCTACGAGAGCTGGATCAACCTCTGTAAAACAATGAAACAAGCGATCTTTAAAACCTATAATATAATACATGCTAAAATATGTAAAGTTGACTAGAAGTATAGCATACTAGTAGTACTATATCGTATAGGGCATGCAAACAAATGCTCATCCTCCGTAAAAGTTACTTTAAAAACAACTATCAAAGATTCAAAGATGTAACAGTTGACATGGCTGAGGCACCAAAAAAGATGTATGAGGTGTCTAAAGTTACAAATGGTACTGATGCTACGCAGGGTCTTTGAAAGTAACATTGAAACAGTTAGTGAACTGTCCCTTGGACGTCATACTTTTCATGCAAGGGTCTGGGCTTCGGCTTATTTTTGACGTGCTTGGAGGCGTTCGTTTCGTATATTTTTGCCACCCATACATTAGTTGCGTATGGACACTTAACTGCCAATAATACTGTCGTGCAAATTTAATATAGCAAATGTTTTTCTGTGTTTCGCTAAGAGATTTAAAAGTTCATCACAGCCTCCCAGCATTAATGAACCGTCCCGTTGTTTTCACACTCTCCCGTCTGGCGTCAGGGCGGGGTGGAATCCAGATGTGAGAATTTGTCGGGGCTCACGTACTAGTAGGGGTTTACATTAAACTTAGGATTGGTCTTAGATTTAACGCTTTCCTCATCACCAACACCAGAATCCCTTCATAACAGTGAATATCCCTTTAAGTCTGTAAAATTGCACACTGAATTGCAGGAATACTTTTGCTTATTTTTAATGCGACACACGACATAATCTCGTAACCCCCTATCGACTCTCACTCTCTGTTTACGTTTTCAAATTCCAGGCGGCAGCTGCTAACTTCCATAAACAATGATTTGAGACTGAGAGGCAAACATTCAAACGTAGAATCCAGAAATTTCTCTGACAATTCCACATCCACACTACGACACTTCTTTGGACAGCTGCACCGAAACAGGGAGCTAGTTTTTGACGCTCCTTGACTGAATTATAAACAGCACGGCCCAGATCACACTCACACTGGCCCAAACGCACGCCGTCACAAATATTATGAACCGTTGTTTGCCAACTCTACAAACCTCTGAATACCAACTACATGCCGACTTTTCCTACCTGGAAGTTAGTTGATACACAGTCCGGGCCGAGTCGCCTGTTGAATCGCTGCAAAACTCCTCCAAAGACGGAAAACTGCTCAAGATGCCGCGTCTTGTGGGACAGGAAGTAGCGAAGCCGTGACCCGGAAGTACTACCCCGGTCAGAGGTCACATCTCGTTACCTGATTACCCAAGAAGTGTACACGGGCCTTGGAGCAAAGGTTAGTAATCGGGAATAATTTGTGACAGAAAAAAGTAATTAATAGTCACATACCAATTTTTTCT